ATCGTCGACGATTACCGTATATAACACTGTATATGAGCTTCTGAACCATAACGAATGGTTCATCAAATATATTATATTCGATATATATATATATATAATACATCCCTAAACCCTAAACCCTAAACCATATATATATATATATTATATAAAATCCACTGTATTCATGGGGAACTATTCCACAGGGTATATATATATACCCTCAACTCTAAACTCTAAACCCTACACCCTAAACCCTAAACCCTGTATATACCCTAAACCCTAAATCCGAATTCTATATTTAATTGCAAATCCCGACTCTGCTCCCATCCTTCTACGACACCGGTCATGTGGAGATCCTCCATTGCTGCAATCTTTGTCTCCACAGCATTGTACACATCTGTGAGCTTGGCATCCATCCTGATGTGCACAGGGTTCTGCATGGGGTTGGGGCTGATAGAATCCTATATAGAGGGTTTTCGGGTCGAGCAAAAGCATTTTCCCCAACGTGCCAGGCATGAGTATATATTCGGGCTAGAATCCTTTCCAAGGTCGTCGTGAGCTTGCCCTGGTCCTTGAGCGTTTTCTTGTGCTTGTTGATCTGGTCCTGTATCTCCGTTATCACCTCGAGCCGACGGGTGAGGCATGTAATAATCTTCGGCAGATTGGTGCCGGCATTCGATGGGCCTTCAATGCAAGGAAAGCCCATCTTCTTCAGCACCTTTACAGCATCCTTTTGGAGTTCTGCAGAATCCAGGGTGGCCAGGCGGGCTGGGTTCGACAGCTCACCTTGGTTTAGAATATGTTGGGTTTGTTTGATAGTGCAATGACACCCTTTAGGTTTAGGGTTTAGGGTTTAAGGGTTGAGGGTCGGGTTTAGTATAACGATATAGGCAATATACTCACACTGCTGCTAGGATACTCGGCGTAGGAACCGACCCTTGGGGCTGCATCATCACCGAACTCACATCCAGCGACATGCTGGCATCTCCATGCCCACCCCGAATTTCGAGCTCCTGTGACTGTGTCGAGGATGCTCTGGCTCGCTCCCTCAGACACCGGTCAGAGGATTCGAGGCACATTCCGAGCTTTAAAGCCGAAGTCTGGGATGATTAAGGTTTAGGGTTTAGGGTTGCAGTTTAATATAGGTATATTATATATATATATATATGCAAGGTTGAACATGTTTGCTGCGAGATGCTTGTAGTGGCCCTCGACCTTCTTCTCCACAAAGTATGTCAGCGTGTCGGCCTTGTACGTGTGCCACCTGCACCACAGCCATATAATATACAAAAATACAGGATCATGCAGTATACTATATATATATATTATATATATTAGGGTGTAAGGGTTTATAGGCTTATGTTATATTCTCTCTCTCTCTCTCTCTCTCTGTAGCCTGCCTCATGTACTTCTCGGGATCGCTCTTGCCACGCTGGACCATTCGGTTGATGTCGGCCCTAGCTGCAGAGATTTAATTGTAAGGCTTACGTGGGGCTGAGGTTTAGATAGGGTTTGGGGTTAGCCTCACCTATAGCCTGTGTCAGAGTATACTCGTGCCCATGGGGGCTTTGCAGGAATATGTTTATACTTGCAGATTGAGTCTATATAGGATTCGGATTCGGATACTACATGCAGTGAAATGCAGGGCTATTTACGATCATGCATATGATAGTCATCAGCCAAGCTTCGGCTCCATATTGTAAGGCGGTTCACTCATCTCGGCTTCCGACAGAAACTCGAAGGGAATAGACACCTCCCTTTCTGCTTCCTGGGACGTCTGCACCCGGTATCGCCGACAAAACTGTTCCTGCAGTCATTATATATAGGGTTTAGGGTTTAGGGTTGGGTCGTATACAAGTTTAGTTATATAAACCCCAAACCCTAAACCC